TTACTTTTCTGACTCTTAAAGTGTTTTGGTTTCTGCCCTTCTCCAGAGCTGAGGAAAGACCTGGAGACCCTTTTCTCTCCCTAAACCTCACTTTTTTTCTAAACAAAGCTGCAAAGCATAGGGTAAGTTGCAATTCCACTGTGTCTCAGAAATGTATACTTGTTAAGTCTACAAAGCAGTCTTCAGGGGAGCGCAGGACTATGAGGTAGGAGGTAAAGACACTCTAGAATAAGTTTTTTTCATCTTCTCTTTGAAAAGGGAAGTGATTAAGAGCTTCTGTTCACTTTGTCCACTAGCAGGCCTTCTGCCTGACACCCTTCTCTTTCCTAAATATACATCATCCTTCAATGAAAGCTTGCTCAGTTCAAATGTTCTCCAGGACAATCCCATGACGCTTGAATTAATTTGACAATTCACTTTCTTGCATGGCACATTTTCACTTGGATACTCCAGTGACCCAGTCAAGGGAAATGCCACATCAGTCTGCTCCTGAATTCAGTATCACAGCCACTCACTGATTCAGTCACCCACAAAGTACAGAGAGAAGTGCCTTCACATAACCTCCACATTCTCTGTTTTTAATCAATGAAAAACATGAAACACAAACCCAGCACACTTCTGTTCTCTTCCATTGTAACGGTGAGGGAATCGACAACGACCAGACAGAGGGCAGCTGGTACAAAAGGCTGTCATTGCTCATCAGCAGGTAGCTACTCAGCTTGCAACTTTGTCCCCAATAAAGATTCAACATGAAGGGATACAGAAGATTCCACGCAGCCACCATTAAGGACTTTCACCTCTGCACATATCAAATTCTCCAACATCGTTTAGAACACATTACTTTAAATCCTCCTAACATAATCAGCACAACACATAAAACCACCAGCACTGTAGACTTTCTCCTCAGGGACAGTAAAAGAGATCTAGTTCCCTCACAGACTATATCATGCTCTGTATAAACAGGAATAAAACTGGAATAACTCTGTTGACTAGACTGGAGTTATTCCAACAATACGCTAATCAAAATGAGATCATAAGTTAACTCAATATACACAAATAGTGACAGCTGTTGGTTTCTATAGCAAAATATAGTAAATAATTATCATTAGAAACATACGCAAAAGCATCACCTATGTATGATTCAATTACATGCTTCCATGAAAATTACAGGTTTGTAATACTCATTAATTCAACTCAGCTAAATGAATTACATCCAAGCAGTAAAGCCTGCAACAAAATAAGATCTCAAAATCAATCACAGAAGCAACAGAAATTCCTATTCATTTTTTTTTTAAATTAAAAACCCCCTCTTTTTAAACAATTTTTTAAAAACTGTGTTTAAATGGGTCATACCAACCCTGTGCAACACTACAGGCTTGGAGAAGAGTGACTGAAGAGCTGCCTGGTGGAAAAGGACCTGGGGGTGTTGGTCGACAGCCAGCTGAACATGAGCCAGCAGTGTGCTCAGGTGGCCAAGAAGGCCAGCAGCATCCTGGCCTGTATCAGGAATAGTGTGGCCAGCGGGAGTAGGGGAGTGATCATGTCCCTCTACTCGGCACTGGTGAGGCCGCCCTTCAAGTACTGTGTTCAGTTTTGGGCCCCTCACTACAAGAAGGACATTGATGTGCTGGAGTGTGTCCAGAGAAGAACAATGAAACTGGTGAAGGGTGTGGAGAACAAGCTTTATGAGGAGCGGCTGAGGGAACTGGGATTGTTTAGTCTGGAGAAAAAGAGGCTGAGGCGAGACCTTACACTACAACTATCTGAAAGGAGGTTGTAGCGAGGTGGGTCTCAGTCTGTCCTCCCAGGTAACAAGCAGCGGGACAAGAGGAAATGGCCTCAAGATGTGCCAGGAGAGGGTAAATTTCTTCACCCAAAGGATTGTCAAGCATTGGAACAGGCTGTCTAGGTAAGTGGTGGAGTCACCATTCCTGGAGGTATTTAAAAGATGTGTAGATGTGGTGCTTAGGGATATGGTTTAGAGATGGACTTGACAGTGCTAGGTTTACGGTTGGATTCTATGATCTTAAAGATCTCTTTCAACCAAAATGATTCTATGAAATCTCTTCAATATAATATTAAAGAATATGATTTTCCTATCAGTAGTGCATATAGCCATATAATAAAAATCTTATTTAAGTCACCAACAACTCATTTTCTTTCCATTAAGGTGTTTTAAGCAGGATCTCAGTCTTTTCTTACATAAAATTCAAGACAATCTAATTCATCAGTAATGTCCTCAAGATGGCCTCATATATGCAACGAATTAAACACTCTCAAATATTTTATTTTTTCGAAGTGGCAAAGACTCACTACATCCCAATCATATTTCCCAGATGGTGTCACAAACCTCTTAACACTTCATTTCCATCATGATCCATGTCTTGAGAAATCTGTTTTCAATCTTTCAAACACAAACAGGGCCTCCACCCTCTGTCCCCTGATGATAGATTCAGCAGTCCCCAGCCAACATATTCTTCATATTCTTTTTAGGGTGAATAAATTAATCTCCTCCCTCATCAATCACACAGAAACCTTCAATGACACATTCATGTTCTTCAAACTTCTTCATAAGTGTATTACTTATGTCTTTTATGAAGAAATGGAGAATATACGTTCATCAGAAATAAGTAGCTCCAAGTCAGTCTAAGAAAAGCATCTGCAAAGCTGACTTGACCCTTCTCTTGCTCTCAGTGTACTGGAGTTGTGACCTAGAGATACTGCTGCTTTTATATTTCATTTAGGGACCTGCTAATTCTCAGCTCTGCTTGCTCACAACGAAGAGCTCTAAAGGCATCTAAATTCAGTTCTGAGGATTTGGCTCAGTGTCTGTATGCGTAAAAATACAGACTGCATTGATCCCAGTCAAAGTTCTAGAAGCTGAAATTCTATCTTTATACTTCCTTTGTCTTGCATCCAGTCCTTTCATTTCAGCAAAACGTTCCTATTAAAGAGAGTGTTTTCCATCCTTCAAGTGTCTAACAAACAATAACTTTGGGTCTCCCTGTCATTGCTGCCTGTAAGTTCCCCATTGTACTTAACTTCAACAACACACAATATTCTCTCTAGTGACAGAATAAGCCTTTCATTATAATCAAAGCATTCTGGGTCTCACTCTGCATAAGAAACCAAGGACTAGATGGACCACCCAAGTCCCTGAATCCAGTGCTCTGCATACAGCATTAACCACACATACTGACATCAGCAGAACATGGCTTCACAGAGTATCTGTTCCACACAGCCCTATCTACAAATCACAAAACACGTTCAGCAGCCTGTAGTAAGGTCCAGAAATGGCCATAATTATGATGTGTGACATTGGAACGTGAAATTCAAAATTGTATCTTTCTTGAATATGAATGGTAGAACTTAGAATTCCGATGTTTGTCCCCGAACATTTCAATATTTGTCCCAGAGTGCCTGTGTAACAAAATTCATGAAGAATCAGTGGAGCTGACTGGACTGAAAACATTGTTTTTGAAATCAACATTCTCCCAGCTGACCACAAGACTGCAAAACCACGTTTTTCTTCCTCACCCCTCCTTCTCACACTCCTAGCTGTACAACGGCTGGGTTTTTGACAAGTTCTTTTTCAACACCTCCATCTGGGAGCCTAGTGATTCTGGTGAGTGAGAGTTGTGTGCCTGAAAAACCCCAGCTAGAGACAGGAAACAAAGTTACTCACCACTTGCCATCTGGTAGATTATTTAGGATGAGGACCTGTATTATTATGATGAACTCTGCTCAATGTTTTAAAAAAATATTCGTAAGTGTTCCAGTTCCAGGAGAAGATGCTGGGTGCTGGATTCCAAGCTGGCAGACATACTTGCCCTACTGCTGCTGATGCAAGTCCCTAAGCTCCAGAGAAAGTCACTTGCCTTTTTATTGTTAAAATTCCCACTGACTTGCGGTAAGAATTTCCCGTTTCACTAGTCAGGTTTAGGGACCATTCATCCGAGCTGCCTAAAGCAGACTTTACAGGTGCTTCATTCTGGTCTGCGATTCCATTTTGTGCATTTAAAATCTAGGTCTTTTAGCTTAACTTGCAGAACTGTATGTATAACTAGCTGGATTAATCTCTACCTCACTTTTGTGGGAGCTGAAAAATTAAGTGTAAGAAAGGGGAACACAAGAAACTGGTAAGCAGTTTTACCATCATCTGCCCTGAGCTCTAGGGCTCCATTCCTCCTTCTGTCATAGACTTGCTACTTCGGGTGAGGTAAGTCACATCCTCAAAGAATTGTGTTCCTAATCTGCATCCAGGGGGATCTCACTTGAAGAAATGCTGGGCATATGCAGCTATCTCTGAACGTTAGCATTTTACACACTCAAAACATATGCAGTGCCTTATGCGGACAGCTGCCTCTCCTGCCATCCCCAAAATAGCTACTGTTTGGTGTTTCCAATTTGTAGCTTTGTAGCTTACTGACTTATGACTACCATGATTATATCCCTAGAAAACAGGGATATAATCATCTCCCATCTCAGAGGGAAATCAGTTCATTAGAGATTAATTACTTGGTTTGGCCTTCTCAGTAATAGGTTTTGCATGAATAAGTAATACTGTCTTCAGGTCTGAATAGTGTGACGTAAACAATGCAAAGAGCCAAACTGCAGCCTTGCAAAGAGGAAATAGAATACTTAAGACCTTTTTATTAAGTTAGTGACCTTCATTACATGCTTCAGAAAAAATGTGATCTAACTTCATGATCAAATCATTACAGTAAAAATAATAATTAAAAAAATCACCCCATTCAACATGTACCAGGATGGGAAATTCAGTCTATCCGAGTAACCACCCATCTGGCATTTTGTGACTTCATAGTGTTCCTTTCACAACCTTATAAATGATCTCTTACCTTAATCTTTACTTACATTGCATATAAAAATGACTATCAGTGCTGCACGTAGCAGGAATTGATGCCAACTTACAAGCAAATGCATATAATTTCTATGCTACTATTATCTAAGTATCACATGCAAAACAAATCCAAACTCACATCTCTCATCATTTTCACTGCTTCCCTGGTCCTTCCCAGCTTTCTTGCACACATTGCCAGCCTCCTCTTAATATAAACTAACACATTGGTGTCCCTTCCTGTATGAGGGGAAAAAGAAACAGCATTAAGATAAATAAGATAAAACAAAGGTTCATTTAATATTCCAACAAAAAAGGAAACCGTTTTCTTGACATTTTTTGTTATTCACGATCATCAATGCTTTCACAATAATTTTAATTAAAAACTACCAAATTCTGCTGATTTAGATGTGGCATAACATCACTGAAATCAGTGGAATTATTCCAGATGTACTGTGGTATAAAAAATGACATGTGGGTTGGCCTTATATCTATGAAATATAAGCAGACTTGAAGGTACAGAGAATGCCAGAGGGTATAGACCATCAAGTTATCCAGTGAGACAAGGAGAACCCCTATGAAGTCAACATTGGCACAAAACTCTGTGACCACACACAGAGCATTAAGTTACTTGCCAATTCACATATATGGTTAAGACAAGAGCATCCATGAAAATGCACATTATATCCTGCCTGTTTTCTAAGTTACAGTGTATGCGCTTGTTAATAGATGTAGCAAAACAAATCCTCATCCTCTAACAATCTTTTTCCTTAATGACTAGGAGCAAAGAAGGATGCCCTTAACTTTCTGTTTACGGAGTCTTTACTTGTTACCCAAATATAATCTTCAAACTCCCCACACTGCTAGTTATGGATGGCAAATTAACATGTTTCAGATATGACAGTCCTATGCACTGGAAGTTGCCCTAACAGCAAAGATGACAGAAACTAAACAGCTGCAATAATTATTCTCTTGGAATTATTATTTGTTTCATTTCTTACTCTCTTCCCCATAATTCCAGTGTGAACTCTTAACACACTTCTGGACCAACAGGAAATGTGCGGACAGTCAATCATCTATAAAATTATCATATTGTGAAAACATAAAACACCTGCTACAAATGACCTGCATATAGTATGCAGTCTGTAAAGATTTTAGTCTGTTCCTAACATTTTCAAGTCTTTCATAATAAGAACAAGATGTGCATTGAAAACATTCCAAGTACCTACAAATTGTTTTAAAGTTGTGATTACAATTTTCAGATAGATTAAGCAACAGGTTGAAAGGTCTGACTTTAGAAGAACAAATAAGGGAGGGAAGAAATTTCTTTAGCTGTATTTTATATTATATAATTCCTTAGCTCTGTATTGATTCCTATATCTATAATAAACAATTTATTAGTTACATCTGTTTCAATATGTTTATGTAGTTTAACTAAGATGTATACATTTCAGGTTAAGCTCCTTTTCAGTAGGAATGGTCGAAAGGCATTTACTATGAAATCAAGATAACCCTTGAGACCAAAATTTTCTGAGGTGACTAATGATTCGGGGTGACTGACATGAGCCACCTTAAAAAGACTGCCCACGCTTTCTATAAACCAGCATCTTTTGAAACAGGTTAAGGTGGGTACTCAAAGTCATTATTTACTCTAAAAATTCAGAGTCTAACATAAAATACTGTATGAAGGAGATGGAACACATGAATAAACAGAAATATAGAGCAATATGCTGTTCAATAAATTACATAGTGTTTTTCACCTGAACACAGAAATGTAGAACATGAAATGCCGAGTTTTCATCCCAAAGTCAACTTCAAGGACCAGAAATGGAATGACAGACATCACAGAACCATGGAGTAACTGCCACACATCTGTCCACAATCCTCTCTAAAGAGAACTGATCTCTCCCCCTTTGTAAACCATGCAGAAGTCCAGCATATAATCAAGAGAATTGTACCTGAAGACCCTGTGTCCAAGGCCCCATGTGAGGCTGGAACCTCTAACTTCTATGAGTGCACATGGACATCATCAAGGGGAGGCTAGGTGGTACAGAGAACAGTCTAGCCCCTCCTGAAGCTGCAGTCAGGAGCTGGCAGTCACTTTTCAGCCCTTCCTACTCTGTGGCCATTCACTTAATTTTGCAATTCAACTGGCTGCTTCCTCTGCTGTAATACTGAAGGTTCAGGGTGCCAAATTTGATGATGACAGTAATCATCTAGCACACACAGGTTACAAAAATACCATACTTCTTTGCCTGCACAAACTTAGCCAGGTTATCTTGGACATAAGTATCGTGACAGTGTTCAATTACTCTTACTGTGTATTTTTCATAGAAACACTGTTATTTTCTGTGCTCAGATGGATTGAGTGCACAAATTAAGGTTTTGCAGGCAACCATAAGCCTGCCGGAGCCTGAAAACCGCTTCAAGTGCTCAGCTGCTCCATATTTTTGTTTTCTCCAAAAATAAGCAAACCATCCTAAATATCATTTTATAACCAACAAATGTTTAAAATACTACCCCCAAGCTTTATAAAACCCCAACTTTTCAGGTATAGACTTGTGTACCCTTTGAAACCAGAGATGACAGATAATTTCACTAAGTACAATTGTTAGCAGCAATCTTGAAATTATGTGAGATAGCCAGAGGTTGTGAATTCAGGTCCTGAGAAACTCCAAGATGCCCAAAGAATGTTAGTGCTTGTATTTATGTAATTAATTGGCATTATTTTTGCCTGAGGTAGCCACTGTAGACCAGAAATAACCTAGACTGTTTGCTTTATTTATCTTTGTATTAATTTACTGGCAGTGGACCCTCATGTATTTTCTTAGTTTTAAGAAGCATCTAATAAATATCATCACAGCAGCTAAATCTGCTTATTCAAGACCTAAAAAAAAAATAAAAAAAAATCTAGACTTTCAATTAGAGTACTGTATTATTCTAGCTGTTGATTTTTATGTCTCTGTGACCTTTCTTAATATATGCAACTGACTTTTCAAATGTCACACTGGTTAATAGTTCTCATTAACTTTTACACAGAACAATGTGGAGTACATATTTACCCTCACAGCTGATGGAAAAAGCTGGCAAAGCATCACTTCACTCCTGTTTCCATCATTTTTTACTGCCTCTTCTCAACATGACCCATGTTTTCAAAATGGCTAAAGGCACTTCAGTGCAATTTCCTGAAACAGCAGCCAGCATTTTCTGAACATCAGACCTCTTTTGGCTCTGCTACATTTTATTTTCTGTTAAGCACATGCTACATATTTTCTGTCATGACAAAGAAAAGGTGCATCTCTAATGTAAGCGTTGCTAGCTCAGCAACAGAATCAAGCAAAAACACTGAAACAAAATAGTCTGGCTCTAGGGCCATATTCCAGACAATGTTAAATACTGAGTACACAGTTCTGAGAGAAAAAAAGCCAAACAAAAAAATCTACTCAGAACTTCTCTCTCTTTAGAAACAACTATGCCCTCCAAAGAAACTTACTGTGTTGGGCTTCATACTGTGCACCATGGTGCTGTAACTGCTGGCTGCGCCTGTAACAGCCCTCTCCAGCTTTCAGAGCTTGCTTGAACAGCTTCTCTGCTTCTACAATTGTTGTTGCTTCCTCTTCGGCCAAGAGAATATAGGCAGTAGCACATCTGAAAAAATATCAGAGGAAAAAACATGAGACAGTTGCATGAAGTAGAAGCTATACAAAGATGTGCAGATGGGCAAGGATGTACCAAATACAGAGGCAATGGAGTTTTGTCCCTATACCTTTCTGGTGAACTATTCTTATGAATAAATATGCTGGCGACCAGACCATGACTCTCATTTGCAGCTACGGTTTCACTCAGCCACTTGAGTATACCTACGCACAACTGCCCCAGAAAGTAAAGCGCTGTCTCACGAAGCAACCATGGCCTACGTCACTAAAAATCCTTCTAGAAACCAAGACTAGTTTTACACACTATTATTTTAACATAAAATGTCTCCATTAATGTAATGGGATGAAAAGAATCAACAGACTTATAAGCCTTGTCATAAGCAAAGATTACAAATGTAATTGTAGAGATTAAAAAACAAAACAAAAACCCACTCCAAATCCCCCCCAAAACAGGAAAGCAGCATTAGGAATATACAGAAAGGTGAAATGCATGGTGAGAGTCACTTCATCCAGCTTTTAGCTGTTTGATTTAGATCTCTTAAGTATCTGTGCCCCTCTGCCTCTGTCAAGGAGCACCTTCACAAAGCCGTTTATTTCACATGTTTAAACATCTAAGAATAGTGTCAGTTGCTGAATGTAGGTGCCTCCCTCATTGGCTACAGAGGGACCTCGGGCAACTACTTTAAACTCCACGGCCACATTTTTAGCAGCTGAAGTTAGGCAGCAGATAGCCTGTTGACTTCTTTCCAACTCAAGGCACGCTGCCGGTAAGATTCTTCTTTATACAGAAATAGAATTGGGCTGCAGCTGCCTCTAGAGTGTTTCACAGTCATCAGCTGAGGAACAGGAAACAACAGGCCTGGGTGAAAATGAGATTCCAGGCACCAGTGCTTGCTCTGGGCCACCCAGAAAAGGACTGGGCAGTCCTGGTGAACACCAAGTTGACCATGAGCCAGCAATGTGCCCTTGCTGCAAAGAAGGCAAATGGCATCCTGAGCTGCATTAGGAGGAGCGCTGCCAGCAGGTTGAGGGAGGTGATCCTTCCCCTCTACTCAGCACTGGCAAGGCCATGCCTGGAGTGTTGTGTCCAGTTCTGGGCTCCTCAGTACAAGAGGGACATCACCATACTGGAGAGAGTCCAGCAAAGGGCCATGAAGATTGACTAAGGAACTAAAGCACCTCTTATATTAGGAAAGGCTGAGAGAGCTGGAATTGTTCAGCCCAGAGAAGAGAAGGCTCAGGGGGGGATCTCATCGATGTTTGTAAATACCTGAAGGGACGGTGAAAAGAGGACAGAACCAGGCTCTTGCTAGTGGTGCCCCGTGACAGGAACAGAGGCAATGGGTGCAAACTAAAACACAGGAGGTTCCCAGGAAACACTTTTTTACTGCGAGGGTGACCAGGCACTGGCACAGGCTGTCCAGGGAGGTTGTGGAATCTCCCTCCTGGGATATATTCAAAAGTCATCTGGACACGGTCCTGTGCAACGCGCTGTAGGTGGCCCTGCTTGAGCAAGGAGAGCTGAATCAGGTGACCTCCAGAGGTCCCTGCCAACTTCAGTAATTCTGTGATATGTGAGTAAAACAGGATAGGGCTTATAGCTTACTTCTGCAAAAGCCTTTTATGCCACATGCTCCCTCAGTTAAGCAGGAGGGAAATGGAATTTCCCTGGAAATTCCAGGGAAAACAGGAACAAACAATTCTTTCTCTCCTTCTGATGAAATACATGAAGGACAATCCATAAAGTACCAGTTTATGGAATTGTAGAATGCAGTAATCTCTGACAGCAACCTGAGGGACTCAATCCACTTCATGCACTTTGGCAACATTTATACAGCTTGCCGTGCCAGTAAAGCACCGCAGCACCGAGTTTATTGTGGGATCTCAGAATACTGCACTGCTCATTGAGAACATAAATAACGGACTCAAAGGCAGAAAGAATTACATCGTATTCTCTCACACTATGAAATGAATATTTCAGAAGATGTTTGTGAGTCCCTTCTTTCTTGCCTTCATTCAAGACAACTGAGAACTCCAAAAGAGAACTCTCCATCCCATAAATGCATATTTTATATGCTTATCAGGAGACAACAATTAACACTTTGCTACACTGATCCAAAGTCCACTGACAACAGTGGGATGACTCCCATTGTCATCACTGCCTTAAGGATCTTATGGGTGGGTAGCTGTGCTTTTTTCTTCCCATTGAAGGCCTTCCTGTGACAGGTCTGTAATCATGGTTAAAAATTACTGTAGCAAACGCCCTACCTTGAGCTATCATCAAATGGATTTTTAAATTCCAGGAAATCAATATTAATGGTGTTGTCACTCACTCATTCAATTCCAAAGCTTCATGTGCTGCAGAAATTCGGGCTTGGGGGTTTCTCTCTCTCCAGGCCTTTTGCATTACTATTCAATAAAAAAGGCAGAACAGGGGCATATCAGTCATTAGTATTAACAAGGAGAATCTACGGCATTATAATAAGAGAATTTATTGCTCTCAGCCTGACTCACTCCAGAGCATTTCAAGGAGCTCAGTGATCCCTCCAAAGGTACATAATCAACATGAGCTTTTGTCCCAAACACACAGTTTTGTTCTTTCATTTAATCAAACTTATATCCATAAGAAAATCTGGCTGAGAGATCATGCCATGTGCACTGTCACATACAGAGGTGATAAGCAGCTTTTTCCTCTTGGGGAAGTAGATTTCACAGGGCACAAAAGAATACAGTGACAGCTGCAATCTTATTCTAGTGTCTTACTGTGCTGTTGCTTTCAGTTAATGTTAAATGGAAACAACATCCAGGCTAATCAGACCACCTTGTAATTAGCCCACTGAGTTTGGAAAATAGGATTCCTGTTTATTGTGTGTCAAAAAAGCACAGTATGTTCTCCTTTGTAATTAGGCCCTCAGAATGGAGTGACCAATGGTCAGTATCTCCCTTTCCCAGAGACAAAGAGGATTTGTCTCTTCAGAGGCAAATTCTGATGATCAAAATCATTGCTGTACATTTTTAGCAGAACCAAAGTCTGCGCATGGACTTAACTGTAAAGGCTTAATACAACTAAAGCTGCTGCTTACATCAAACTCAGTTGTAAATGAGTTGTTCCCATTTTTTGCAGAGCTTCTAACTACATCAGGGAATGAAAAAGAAGGACTCAAGTTTTACATAGCTCTTTCTCTTCTGTCAGCATAGACTAAATGGGACCTGGGTGATGTGACTCAACATACTACACTGCAGCTGGAGGCAAATTAAACTATACATGTTTGAAGCCCCTGCAAGAAACAAGAGGAAAAAAAACGAGTCTTTACTCTTGCAAATGGTACCTTAAATGACTTTAGCAAGAAAGTAGAACAAATAGTGACACAAATTAGATAGTTTATACCTATATAGATACTTGTTAAGATCTAGAATACTACCCATCAAACAGCAACAGCTTTCCAGGAACAATCAAACTTTTGCCTTTCCTTATCTACCTGAGAGAACTGATGTCTCACTACATTTTTCTTGCATCAGTTTAAAACAATCATTAACCTATCAGCAAAAACAGTTGTTAACAAAGGCTCTTACTAGCATCTGCCGGCCGTAAATGATCTGTATCACATGTAAAGAACGTCTGATGGTCCTGTGCTGAAAGATTCATATCGTAGTAAGTCAAAGGTTCTCTCCCTGTTACCCATGTATACCTGCAAACATGCCAACAAAGAGACATTTTCATTAATGAGGTCACATTTGCCAAAATTAATCTAGAAAAGAATCCTAGATGTTAAGAGATGGGCATAGCCTACTAAGTTCACCCAGCCAATCTCCTAAGCAACATGCATTGCATTTCAGTGTACTGTGATGGAGTGACAGTAGTTGAACCTAAGCTAATAAGGATGTTGGAAAGCACACACCGGAAATCAGTAACACGCATACTCAAACATTAAGGCTACATGAAACCGAGATATAATTCATTAGGTTGTTTGCTATAACAGATTTGAACAGAATTACTGTATTAGTAGTACCAGGTACACTGCATTTAAGTTTTCCAATTTTTTTAAGATCACTAAAAACTGCAGAAATAACAAGTGCATGAGTATGATTTCAAATTCTGTTTCATTCAGAAACATTTTACAAATGACACAAAAACCTGGCATGAGCACGTGTCCACAGCTGGTTCTATTTTTCCACCTCTCATTTAGATTAATGGAAAAGCACAATTAAGGTCCTTAGCCCATACTATGCCTGAAACTGCAACATCGTACGTAGCACTTACCGATTATATTCCGCTCCTCTGAACAGATTTAAAGGATTTCGCCAGACTTTGCATTCTGTCATAAACAGAAATACACAATAGTGAATCTCTCCCAAATTACAATGGTATCTGAGATTTATTTAGAAACATGTTACCTTCTAATGTGCCTTGTCAAGTAACTTCTAGTTTTTGTAGGTACAAATAGAAAAAGAAAGAAAAAATCAAGAGCACAGAGTTGCAGGTACCCAGACTGTTACTCCTTTTTAAATAATAATTTCATTACAAATTAGTGTCAAGAAATGTAATTATTCCAGACAAATAACCACTAATAGAGCTCCAAACGTCAGATGAAAAGATAATACTGATTAGTTCCAGGGCTCACATTTACCATAATGCAGAATTTAAGAAGGATCACACTGGGTTACTGCACTGAAAACCAGCAATTAGCTCAGTCCCTATGGACTTGTTATTTCTACAGAAAAACTTCACTGTCTAGTTAATACTGTAAATCACTGAGAATCTCAGCTACAGTTGCCAAATTTAATTCCTCCTTAGCTCATGAAGTAAAAAATCCATAGCAACATCTGCTGACCTTACTTAAAGGGTTGACAAAGGATGCTGAAGTTGATTGGCAGGGGAAAGTTCACTGCATTGTAAAGGTCTGAGAACACTAAAAGCATTTCATACTTTTCACTTGGGGCGGGGGGAATACAAATTCTTCACACTACAGGTAGGAAGAGATAAGAAAATCCACAACAACATAATTTAGAACAGAACTGAAAAAAAAAAAATCACACAAAAAAAATTCTATAGCTTTTGAAAAAGTGAGGTCTTGATTCTGGCTTTTCTTTCTTTAATTTAACGCCAGATTTGTTCTCTTCATTTCAATAAAGACAATTTGCTCCAGTGAAGGCAAGACCAGAGTCAAACCCAGTATTTGCAACAAAGGCTCACTGAGAGGCACCACAAATCTGCCACTGGATGACCCCTCACATGGTGCTTTGCAAAAACCCATCAGTAGCACTGGCCCTGCAGCATTTCACCAGCTGCTTTCCACCACCAAAAGTCAACCAGCACATTTCCCCCTACGAAATTCTGTGACATGGTTTCTAAAGAGATCACAGCAACAGTTTTCTGGTGGGATACTGAGTCAACAGGGTCTCTACTCTGTACAACACTGGTAAGTCTATGCCTGTTCCCTTTATGCCTGGCATTAAACAGACAGAAATACAGAACAGCAAGTCAAGCCCTTCTCTTTTCCCGTGGACCTAGCTCCCACTTCTCAGTATGAGGCTAAAGTGGCTAAGTGTAAAGCATTTTACATAAATTATCTGTAATAATATAATGATACTCACTGCTGCACAAAAAACAGTCAAGGTGGGCCCTCAGCTTGGTGACTACATCACCTAATACACGCATGAAACAGAGACGGGGGAAGGGAAGATGTTTGGGAAGAGAGCATTGATTACACGTCTGCATCTTTCAACTAACCACTGCAGCAGGTAGCTAACATTAGAAAGCTCCACTGGTTTACTCAGCAATAGTGCTCGACTGACACTCAGCCGTTGCGTTGTGCAGTCAGAGGGTATGGCTGTTTGGCAAGCTTCAGTCTGACAGTTTTTACATAATACGACTTTCAAACCATAGTAAATATTAAAAAACCATGAGCCTTCTCAGTTCCAGAGGTACAATTCAGTGGCTTGACTTACTCTATTTGCAACCAATAAGATTAAGCAACAACTATTTGATCACAGTGACACCATTCTTTTGCTCACCCTATTTAAATTTAAGGGGTTATACTTTATCCGAAGCATGCAGTACTTCAGCACTGAAAGTGGGAACTGGGGAACAAAAAGGGGAGGTGAAGCGGGGATTTTATTACCACCTCCTGCCCTGGGGGCAGTTTGGCATCCCTCTGGCTAGTTCAACGTGATGTGCTCTTTGTTGCTTTTATCTTGGTATCTGCTCATACCCTGGTCTCAGCACAACAACAATTCTTCTGACCTTTCTGAAGACAAAGATATCTACTGCAATATTCTACCACAGTTAAACAGCTACACAGGAAAACATGGTGATCCAAGTGAAAGCGCCGTCTTGACCTTGTTAGATAGTGAAAGAAATGTCCCAGTGCTGATGCATGGTGACCTGAAAAGGTTGCCTTTTCTGTTACATTACAAAAATTAATATAACTATGTCCTTATTTTATATAAACCAATTAGGATTTACTGAAGATTAATCTTCCAGCTCCTTGTTCAATGATCAATTTTTGAGCACCAATATCTTTCTGAAGGTGCGAATAACAAGCTATGCCTACAGGCACACTACCCAGAGACACCGTGAGAGTCTCACAGTCTCGTGTGTCGGTGCACTGGAGGCAAATACACTACACTCCTTGACTATTTCTTTATATCAGAAAAGTCAAGATGCCTGGGTGAACCTCATTAGGCAAAATACTGTGCCTTCTGCTTTAAAACCATGGCAGCCCTTCAGAGCTGCTGAAGTGTGACTGAGCACACTGATGGGTGCACACAGGTGTTTCCAAGCCACCCCATGCTTTCTGCCAGTTCATCCAAAGCTAATATCCTGGACCATGCAGTGTTGCTATTCACAGCCTCTCCCCGGATGGGAATGACAACAGCTGAATTTGCTGTGCTGTAGGGAGGCTTCCGTAAGTAAAAATACTCAGTAGAGAGCAAGGTTTTCTTGAGGCCACGTATTTTATTTGACTTGTGAGTTCAAAGCTAATTTTTGCTTGCTTGTTTTCACGAACGTTGAAGAGCAGAAATAAAATTTGCCAGGTACAGACATAGGCACCTCAGCTGCTAAACAATAATGTTTTCTCCATAACTGAATTTGGGTTTTTTTCATTCATTTTTCCTCACTTGTTAATTCTGATATATTTTTAAAGCCCACAGAGGAAATAAATTTAATGAAACTGTAATTGATTCTCCCTAATGAAAGCTAAATTAATTTCCAATATTAATATTATGGTCTGTATGCCAAGCTAGGAATAAAACAGGTAAGCTTTGTTTTACAGATGAGGAATGCAAGCCAAGATGCTCCTGCCCTGACTTTAACAGCTGGTATCTCCAGCCCAAGCCAGAAACAATAGCACTTCAGCATCTTCATTACTCATGGGCTAAGTTTTCAACTCATCCCCCCCCAGGTAGCCAAGTCACCCAAGCAGGGAGACAAGTTCTCCTGGGGCTCCTCTTCAGTCCACAAAGATGAGTGCTTGGGGGGCTGATTAATTTTAGGCAGGCTGGCCTGTCTCTCAGAGGAACCATCCCTGGGCAACGGGGCTCTGGACTCAAGTGTCTCAGCAGAATCCCAAAGCCTGTGACATGAATGAAGTGACTTGCAGGGATAGTTCCCCTGCAGCAGAACTGTACTTCAAAACCAACTTCCTCCCCTCCACCACATAAGAGCTGATTTCTTCTGATTTAACTTTTTTTTTTCACCAGAGCAAATAAACATGGACTCATTATAGTAATATATAAATGCATAACAAAAATTACAACCCATACATTTATACTGCTTCATGCAAGGCTCTCAAAACACCTCTTCAATTATACATTGATTCGGAGTAATCATATGTATTGGAAAAGAAGCCTCAGACTGTCAAGATCAACTTTAAAAGCTTGAATGACTTGGACACCTTCAGCCTGATGTGCAGCACCTGCTCCTTGCACTGAAACTCATAGGAGCTGTGAATGTCTGTAAGGCCAGGAAAATCGAGCCCCAAATGCCTGAAATCAGGCCCCCTAAACTGGAAGCTTCTTTTTAAAACCTGTGTTATGACTTTCTCAAGGTCACAAATTAAATCAGTAGCAGAGTCGGGAACAGAACAAGCCCTTAAGCCATTACAAGCCACTGTGCCTCCACTTGCTGAAGTGAAATTCAAATGTTGCTTACATACTACTTACATTATCTACAGAACAAAGCGGTGCAAAAGCAGGTGGGCATTCCCCACATCTTTTCTGAATCTTTCTTTTACAATGGTGTTATTATTCAAAACAATTTAAATAGAAGTACTGCCTGCCTTTAGAAATGCTACTGCAGAAAGAGCACCTGCAGTTTAGCAGGGCTACAACAAGGGGCAAACGGGTGCGTTGGCAACGCGGCCCCAGCAACAGGCACCGCACGAATTTGGGAAGATACAATTAGCCAGCGATACAGTTAATGAAGCAGCTCTGCCTTTCCTTTGACACCAGAACACGTCCAAAGGAAGCCTTATCTGGTCTCACGGCTCAGCATGAGCCGAACTCCGCTGCCGCCGCGGGCCCGGGCGAGCGCCGAGCGTGGCACCCGCGGCTGAAGGGAAGGCGGGGTGGGGTGTTCCCGGGCGGGAGGA